AATGGAGAGCAGTTTGAACAATTCATACGATGACGAATAAATGTAATTTTGCAATAATAAAAATAAAATTAATTAACATTGTTTTTTTTTTTTTTTAATCGCCTGAGATAAACTTAAAAAAAATAGTTGCTTTAGGGAAAGAGGATGTTTTCCAAAAGTAGGTACTAAAAATATCACTAGAAGATATCATGCGGTGCTAAAAGGATTAATTATTTAAGCCTTAAAATTGATGAATAATTCAAAAATGTCAAAAAATAATATCAATCACTGAAATATCCATAACTCAGCTATTTTTTAACATAGGAAGTTGGTTTTACCACTAAAAATTCACGAAAAAATAAGAGTAAAAATAACTAATCAAAAAATAGTGGGGTGCCATTTAAAAAAAAAAAGTTGTTATGCGCTTGCGCGAAATGAAATGGCATAAAAATTGTTTAATTACTTTAATAAGTTATAACAAACTTTATTAAGCACCATAAACAAACAGAATTCAAATATCTTTAATATTTGTTAAGTTATAGAGTGTTTCCAACAACCGATTACACACTGTATATATATTCTTATATTGCGGATATGATAGAAAGAGAAAGAAAATCATGGCTTGCAATCCCCTTAAAGTCGATTTTTATGCTTTCATCCTAATTATACGACTAGTCAAGGCCGTATCTGGGGGGGGGTCCAGCGTGTCTAGACTCCCCCCGAAATTTCTTCAATATTTTAAGAATGTTTAAAATACTTATTTATTTTTAATACCAACATAAATATTTTCAGTCAAAAATGACTTAAGCTCCCATTAATCATTGACTGCTTTTAATTTGATATCATAATATCATATGAAAATATGATATTAATTTTAATAAAAGAAGATTAAATCTTTTTCTGTCTTATTTTTAACCAAATTTCAAAAGTTAACATCTTAATTCAATAAAATTACAATATACATGTTTTGGACCCCTCCCGAAAAAAATTTCTAGATACGGCCTTGCGACTAGTTGATATTCTCTTCGGTTACAAATACTATATAGTATTTAACCTTAATAATACCATACATAAGCGTATTTGTTATAAATTAATGATGATACATATATACAACACATACATACATACAATGATGACAGTTCATGCAGGTACTTTAATTTATATAAAAATATTTAACACGTTGGCTACCAGACCTAATTTCAAAAATATTTCATTACATACCATGAGTATTACCCGTGACTCACACAGTGTCTTTACTGCTGTACTATGGCCTTTTTTGAAAATATTTTCTTGTGTACCAAGATTGTATCTTTTGAACAGTTTGTCGTAAAAAAAAAAAATACCAAGTATAAAATACGTTTAAAATGTCATAAATATAGGTAATGAATATCTCATTTTCTTATTGAGAAACACACATGACTCTTGTGGTACACAATTAATAAATTTAATTGTATTATACGTTAAGAATCACCGGTGTCTCTCATATTTATTCGACCATTTGGCCCAAATTAAAATACATAATTGATATTAAACAATGTTATTTCAAATCTATATTTCATCTATGCATGAAATTTTTCTTTGTAAAATTATTATTTTATTATAATATTATACTCAAATGATTTTTCTCATTTTATTTTATTTTATTGTTAAATTTAAAAGAACAAAACCTCTTTCAATGAAAAACATTTTTAACATTATAAATATAAAGACAAATTAAGCAAATATTAATTAACAAATTTTCATAATGTAATAATATGTAATACATTATTTAATAATTTAAGATTAAAAATAATAACAAATAGTGCTCAGTCTTTGAATTGGTAATCAAAATCACAGTTATAGTACAAAAATTATGATTTTTTTATTGCACTTGTAGGTGTAGTATTTCCACCATAATTATTCTTATCATGATCATCAGGATTATATTCACTTCCTGAATCCTCAAAATATGTGTCTAACGCTGACAGAACTTTATCAGAATCCATTTTACTTTAAGTTATATAACTTATACATAATTATAACTTCAAACAAGATAAACATAATAAAAATATAAATATTATTACAAATCGTTTAAGTTAAGTCGATTATTCTATATTGATAAATTGATAAGTGTTAATCACTTTATCAGTTATCAGTAACAACATTTGGAACCAATATTTTTATTTGTACCTAATTTAAAATTAAAATTCTACAAATATATTTTTTTGATAATAATATTCTGTTATCCCAAATAATATGCATGTGTGAAAACAATTTTTTTCCTAAAAATGAGTTACCGGTCATAGTTCAAACTTATAAAAACAATATCTAATGTTTATAACATCTTTATAGATGTATATTTTGCGTGGCGCTATGTAAGCAAATCAGTTCCAGTAATGGCCTCTGTAGCTCATTCCCTCTTAGCTTCTCATAACTACATTCTCAAAGTTAATAAATTACCGCTTTATGAAGCCAACTTCCCATCCCTACTATTCTACCCTAAAATCAATTGCGAAAAAAATTTCCTCGGTCATTCCATCGACTTTCTTAAAGCCTCTTCCTCCAATATAGTCAACGGTCTCTTTCAAGACTTCATTCACAATACGTTCCCGCTGTTCACTCTTATCTACACCGACGGATCGGTCTCCCCGATTTCCGCCGGATACTCTTTCTTCATTCCAGAGCTATGTATCTCTTTTACTAACAACCTATCTCCAACAGCTTCTTCGTTTACTGCAGAATGTTTTGCCATCGTTGAATCACTCCAACTCATATCTACCTTATAATCCAACAAGTTCCTTATCGCTACTCACTCTCCTGCCTCCAATCTCTTTCTTCCAATGTATTCAAATCACCACCTAATACTCTAGTATTTCTTATTAGAAATCTGCTATTCTCTCTCGAAGCCAAAGGTTTTGAATTACAGTTGCTCTGGATTCCAGCCCACATAGGCATCACCGGTAATGAAACAGCTGACTATTTAGCCAAAAATACAGCGTCAATCCAACTTCCATCCAATATTCCGATCCCCTGGTTTGACTTCTGTCCTAAACTTAAATCTTGTGTTCACCATCTATGGTCTGACTCTTACAATAACCTTCCACATCACTTCGCCACAAGATACAGAAAATTAAACCCTACAATTCCATCTAAGCCATGGTTCCATAACTTAAAATTATCTCGCAAAGCAATTAGCTCATTTTCTCGTCTCCGTTTTGGCCACACTCTTCTCCCCTCACATTCCTTTAAATTATCTCTTAACGACTCGCCTCTCTGCATTTTCGATCATCCTCCAACCATCTGCGACATAAACCATATTCTGTTCAAATGCTCTGCTCTACACGCAGAGCGCCTACAACTTTTAACAAAAAAATGGTTTGTTTTAGTTAAATAAACTTTTAAAGTTTAAAATTAAAATTAAAATTAAATTTCCGTATTTACACTATAGTAAATAAGCCATAAGCATATCACCAACCTATATCGTCTAATTACTATACTCGTTGACCATTGTTGATGGTCTCGTTACATGTAACATGATTCAATTTTTGATACTATAATAATATAGTATTATTGGTTGTTGCCTTTTGCATAATAATATATTTATTATGTAACATTGTAGCCTACTATTATAGTATATAATATATACTATAATATATAATATAATATAGTATACATTGCCTATTGAATTTTTGGGCTTCTATGATAAATGCATTTTGTAAAATTAAATCTTTATTCACAGAAAAATATTTAAATATAATAAAATATTTATTGATTGCAGTAGTGACTTGCACCTAAGTGAACTGGTTAATTGCCACTCTCACCGTGTCACAAAATACTTGTAACTCACATTAAAAAAAATATTGAATACCAAATAAATCAGTATGGTGTAATATATTTAAAATATATTATATAATTCTATCTACAATATTATTATTAAAACTATAGTATTTCTGTTTAAAAATAATAGATCTTTTGAAAACCTATGAATAGTTTTACTATATTATTAATTAAAGATAAATTGAGTTTCAGACTACATAAATCCATTATAGTTTATTATGCATCATGTTCAACATAGCAAGTATGTTTACAGTTAATTATTGGTGACAAGCTAATCACAAATAATTTGTTGGCTATATCTAAAAATAATTAAGTTCAATAATTGAAAAAGAAAACTTTTAAAAAAAAGGAGTTTTTAATCTTCATTTTTATGTGCTGTGCACATGTTCTAATTGGTACTAGACATATAGTAACTTCTCAAACATTATAAATATTAACTGTGTCATGCAAACTTAAAACTCATCAGTTAAATAATTTTCATTAAATTCAATACTCATATAAATCAGATGATAATTTGTCTGATCTTGATAGTCTAATATTAATGATTACTATTGAATAGGTTGTTAATTATGTCAGTTTTGTCTAACACTACACTAAATATTATGTACCAAATATTTATTGTATCACCACTTGTAATTATTTATTCCCCCCATTAAAATATTTATTAGTATTTTGTATATTTGTATATATTCAAAATTAAAATATTTCTATAGTAAATAGCTAACTTTTATTAATATAAATAACAATACAATTATATTTTTAGAATATTATTTAATAACCTCTTTTATATTTTAATATAATATCATAGATATCATCTATAAATAATATAAACACTTAGAGGAAATATATTTTTAATAAAATAATTAAATTCATAAAATATCAATCTATGGAAGTTAGGTTTGTATTTTTTTAAATAATTTAAAAAATGTAACAAAAATGTAAAAATAAACCAAAAAATGTATAAAAAGAATTAAAACATTTAGTAAATATTATACAAATCATGTTTACTTAAAAATGTAACATACACATTTGATATTATTTTAATAAAATTAATTAATTTGCTGTAGATTGTTTGAACTTTAATAGCAAATGAAATATAAATTATAAATTCAGTTATAATTTAATAATTTTAGATAGACAAAATAATACAATTTTATGAGAATCTAATAAATAAAATATAAAACAGTTCTCAAAAACAACCATTAATTAATAATTATAAATAATAATAGGTCTAATAGTTGTGATGAATACTAAGCAAATATAAAAATGGAATTAAGATTAACTTTTAATTATTATTTCTTGAACTTCAGAAACAAATTAAATGATAAGGTAATAAACACTGTCTTTAAACAGTTTCATATTCTTCATGTATGGAACATTTACGACAACATGCCAAAAATACAGCAAATAGCTAAAAAATAAAATATTATAATTTTATTTTCTAATAAAATTTCATATAATTAATAAATATTAAGTCCTCAATAAAATGAATATTTTATCTAATGCTACTTAGATGTTAAATTAATATTATATTTCGCATACCTGAACTAAAGCAAATCCAATGGCAGTCCAAATTAATAACTGGCTATTTTCCTGAACACTAGTTTCAAATTTAGCAAAACAGCCATCTTGGTACGAATCAATTTTTGTACAAGATCCATTTACTGGGATCGCACGACAACAAGATTTAGGTAGATTATCGCTATGTATAACTGGCTTCCAATCATTTGGTCCATAGACTCCACAACATTCCATCTAAAACAAACATATGTATATAAAATTGTTACTATAAAATATTTTACACAAATTGAAAACTCATTAATAAAGATAAATATTACTCACATCAGATTGTATCAAATTCCAGGCTTCTGTACTCGTATTATGGCCAGTTACATTATAAGTAGAAATTGTATGGTTCATTTGACTCAAAGCATATGTTTCAATTTCATTTCGCATATGATAAACAACACCAGATAAAATTAGCTCTCCAATCAAGACAATTGTAAGCAGTATAGAAAACTAGTATGGACAATACACAAGACAGTTGGAACGTGCTCGATATTATAATTAGTATTAAATACAAGAAAATAAAAATAATGGGATACATACCAGTGTTAAAAGACATCCACTATCTCTAAGCACACCACATAGACCAATGGCAGAAATTAGGAATAGGCCAAGACCAATGAACAAGAGTAAAATTGGTGTAGTGGTAATTTCTGTGTTGACAAAATTTGACCATTTGTAGAACTTATGGTAGATGATGAACGCGATCGACAAAATACAGACGCTCGAGATCTGTGAAATATGTAGGAAATAATAACACCATTAAACAGTGGTCGCGAATGGGATGACTGAGTGTATACTTACGAGACATAGTAAGTTGAACAAGTATAAAATGTACTTGCCCAAAAACGTACAGATGGACATTTTTTGGTTTTTATTGAAACAATTGTTACAACGGCGGAAAAGGACGAAACTCGGTGTTGATGAATATACAAATGACTAATGATAAAAAAAAACAATACAACGTAATTGACGATACAATATTAGGAAATTTTCAGAACAATGTCGCACTATGGCTCACACACTAAATAATCAATACAAAAATACACATCTGACCCCTCCTTCCTTTGTACATCATAGAGTAATATGCTATATATATGACGACGAGCTACAGCTGATCTCGAATGATAACTGAACCGCGTTATTACCACAGATATAAAATACATACTAATATATATAATCAGTGGTTAAAGTGGGAAAAATGTTGTGGGGGGACTATATTCATCAAAAATTGAGGAGCCTTCCCCTACCTAATTCTAAATCTTACCGACCTTTTTTAGGAAACCCATGAGGTCTAAGCTTCTTCTGTTACACATATATGTTCATAAAAACTTATTTTCATAGGGTGTAAAAATAAATTTCCCCAAAGAAAAATAATTCTATACATATGACTGCTCAGTAAAAATAAATTGAAATATATAGTAGTATTGATTAAATATTTAATCAATGATAGTAGGTAATGTTTAAAAAACTTAACAAAACTAAAAAGAAACAATTACTAACCTTGCTAGTTGTTAGTTAACGTAGAGAGTAATAAATACGTACATTGTACATAAGGTGTGTACTATCTATAAGATAGTGTCTATCCTCTATCACAATTTAATATTTATACTATTTATAGTTATTCGGTTCTGTTGATATTTATTCTAAATAATAGTGGATACAAAAATCAATTTAATTTTAGAGCTATGGGTAATAACCACTCGGGATCATCTATAATTAGACATAGCGTCAATTAAATTAACCCATGATGTACGTTATCTACCATTTTTGCTTATCGTTATAACTACATATTATTTCTTCGAAATTTTTTCTACGTGTTTAAATTAATCAAGAAAATAAATTTCATGTAATATTTTAATATTATAATAAATATTAGGGATGGGAATTCCAACTCATTCTGCTGAACTGAATCTTTCAACTCAGTTCAGTGTAATGAGTTGACTCACAAGTTCACAGCCCATATTCATGAATAACTTATCGTATATGAAACTAATTATGACTATGAGCATACAACGTTAAAAATTTTTCTCAGAAAGTCAAAAATCTTGAAAAAAAAAGTTAGAAAAAAGTTAGAAACAATGGAAATATCAATAACCAAATTCGTGGGGAACTATTGTTTAAGTTGGTATTAAACGGCCCTCACACGATCAATATTACTGACAATATTTTTGATACTGACAGTATTATTGATCGTGTAATGTGAGTACTGATTAGTGATGGGTCGTTCCTGAACGAATCGTTCCAAATGAACGAGTCCAGTAAAGGAACGATTAGGAACGATTCCACCCGAACGTTCCTATTCGTTCCTTCGTTCCATTTCGTTCCTATGTTCCAATGGTAAAATGTACCAAAAGTGCATAGTATAATTGTTGTACTAGTAAGTTGTCCATTATAATTAGGAATATTCGAAAATTAGATTGTAGATAACATTTTATCACGGACCAAGATAATGATTCATATTCTTACTCCGTGTATTTTATATTCTTATCATGGCTATAGATTATTTTTAGCCGTGATTCTTATAATTTATTGAAGATCAAAATTGAAATCGATAGTTAATAGTTATTCACAATTGACTAGTTGAACAAGAACCAGAGTAAATAAGTAAAATATATGGATAGGTGCATCAAAAAAATATCGATATTATACCATCGATCATTCATTTCACTATCGTTTACCTAAACTAGCATAAAATAAATCATAATTAAAAATTAATAATAATAATATAGATATTTAATTACGTTTTCTTCTATGACCTATTTATACCGAGTTGGCTATCTAAAGAAGTTCATTTAATTACAATACACATATTTTATATTTATAGAAACGTTATAATATTGTGCTTAAGGCATAACAAATGAAAACTAATAAACATTAATAATATTAGAATGTATTAATAAAATATCTATTATTTTGTCTTTTATTATATTGTTATGTTCTTAAATTAGTTGAGCCTACACTCTACACTTCTACAGTTGTACAGTTTATTTTTCAATCGCGGTGTCTATGTGCATAAAATTATTAATATTACATTTATAAGACATTTTGTTAATGTTAGTTGATTAAACGACAAAATAGTAAGTTACATTTCATTTATATTTTCTATAAATTAAATTAATAAGTAATTTAGTAATATTATTCTTGGTATAATGGATAAAAAAAAGTGTGAAACGTGGAATAATTTTGAAGTGGTTGATGGTGAAAAAGCAAAATGCAATTTTTGTTCTAATACTATTTCTTATAAAGGGGGTTCTACGGCTAATTTAACGAGATATTTAAAACGAAAACACATAGTTCAATACGAAGCTAGGAAAAAAAGATCTATTGAAATTCTCGAAAAAAACATCGATGAACCTGATAATGTTTCCGTATCCGAACCTTCCCATTCTAATTTAACTACTATTACACCTATAATTAAAAATAAAACAGCTAGCGTTACAAAAACACAAGTATCCATAGATGCGTATACATCAAGGCCGATGCCTATTTCGAAATCTAAAAAAATTGATGAGCAGTTAGGTATAATGATGGCTAAAGAATACCAACCGTTTAGTTTGGTTGAAAATAAAGAGTTTAAAAAATTTGTATCATTATTAAATCCAAGCTATTCTTTGCCAAGTAGAAAAACAATTACTTATAATATTTTACCTCAATTATTAGAAAACACCAGGGAAAAGGTTAAAAGGAGTTTAGATAATGCATCATATATAGCAATGAGTACGGACGGTTGGACATCTGTTAATAATGAAAGTTACGTCGCTGTTACAGTACATTTTATTGATACTGAACTATGCGTTTTAAAATCTCATTTACTAGGATGCTATTATTTTGAATTATCACATACAGCAATCAATTTATCGACATTCTTAAACAATTGTTTTGAAGAGTGGAGTATTGTAAATAAAGTTAAAATAGCTATTAGCGATAACGCTAGTAATATTACAGCTGCAATAAGTTCAAATAAAAATTGGAAACACATTCCTTGTTTAGCGCATAGCATTAATTTGATAGCCCAATGTGGGTTAGAAGAAATTAAAGAAATACATAAAAAAGTTAAAAAAATAGTAGAGCATTTTAAGCGTAGTTCTCAAGCAGCAGCAAAATTAAAAAACACACAAATTCAGATGAATTATCCAGTACTAAAACTGAAACAAGATGTGATAACGAGATGGAACTCGACTTATGATATGTTTAATAGGTGTTTAGAGACAAAAGATCCATTAGTATCCACTTTGGCTATGATTGGTAATACTGAAATGTTGACGGCGTCAAATTTTAATTTAATGGATTATTATTGCAAACTTTTTAAGCCTTTTAAAGAAGTTACAATTGAGTTAAGTTCGGAAAAAGGGGTATCAATTTCCTAAGTTATAGTTCTCACAAATGCATTGTTATCTCACATAAAAACAATGAGAACTGAGAAAAACTTACCATTTGATATTTATTCTATGATTTTAAAGATGGAAAATAAAGCCGAAAACAGATTTGCCGGTATGGAAGACAATTCTACTTTTGCTGAAGCAGCTTTAATTGATCCACGTTTTAAAAAAAAAGGATTTAGTAGCGAGACATATTATACCCGTACTTATCAAAACGTCGTGCGCAAGATTTCAAGTATAATTAAACGCAAACGACAATCTATTAATCAAGAAGAAAATATAGTTACAGATAACGAACAAATCACTATGTCAACTGAAAAAAAAGAAACCTTTGAGATATGGAAAGAATTTGATTCACAGGTATGAATTTTAATTTACATTTTTAAACAATTTATCAAATAACGATAATTTATGATAATAAATAGCCTATTACATATTATATTTTTTTAGGTAAAAGAAGTTACAACAGTGAGAACTGACACTTCCGATGCAATTGTGGAATTAGATAAATTTCTTAATGAGCCTTTAATCCCAAGGAAATCAGATCCTCTTGTATGGTGGAAGGAAATGAAACGTATATATCCAAATGAATACCATTTGATGTTACAAAGATTGGGAGTGCCATCAACATCAGTTTCATGCGAACGAACGTTTTCTAAAGCCGGATACACACAAACAGACAGGCGTAATAGACTTTCCATAAAAAATATGGAAACATTAATGTTTTTAAATGGCAATCTATAATACATATTTCAGGTAACTTCCTAATCATTTTTTGTACTATTATTATTTTAAATAGTAATTTATTGAATTTATTGTTATTGTAATATAAATGCAAAGACTGCAAAAACACCGTTGGGTTTTTTATTTTATAATTTATAAATACCTATTCCTAATCCTAATTATAAAACATGAATACAATCCAAAATATTTAAATATCGACTATTAATATTTGTGATAATGCGTTTACGGCGGTCAATATATTACAATTGAGTTATAATTATTTCAGTTAACGGAATACCGGTTCCGCCGCCCGGTAATAACCGGGCCCGTACACTGTGAACTATAATATATTTTGTGAACGAAAGGACCGAAGGAACGAATCATTTGTACTCGTTCCTTTTCCGGACCTGGAACGATAGGAACGATTCACAAAATGGAACGAAAACTCCCATCACTAGTACTGATGTACTGTCAGTAAGGAAAACCCATACTGATGACTGATGGAAAAATCGGATATCGAGTCGTCAGTATTTATTTACTGATGATTATATTGATAGTGTGAGGTCGATATTGACATGTCATCAGTATTGGCATCTCTGCGATGGATGACGGAAGTGAAACTACTAGTCACGAATTCCGCGATCGGGTCATTTTGCGTGATTTTATTTCAGAGTACAAACAATTACCCGAATTGTGGGATGTTCGTTGTAAAGAGTACTCCAATAGAGATAACAAAAATTCTGCCTATAAAAAACTTATAGTTTATTATAAACTTTTGAAAAACGAATCTACAATTGAAGATGTAAAAAAATTAATACATTTAGAAGCAACTTCAGAAAAAGAAGTGGTACTGGGATAAAAGACGTCAACCATCATCTTGGTTATTTGAAGAGCTATCATTCTTAACGGATTTGGAAAAACCAATTAAAAGCGTTTGTTACAGTATCAAAAATTGATCTAAACACTGTGAAAGTAAAAAATACTGAGTATTGGCTATAATTTGTATTGACCATTTGAGGAGTACACTGTCAGTAATGTAAATACTGTCAATATTTCTACTGTCAGTATTACTGATCGTGTGAGGTCCACTTTATATTTTCCGTTTGGATTCGCAAACCGTTATCAAGGAAATTAGGAGAGTCGCGTATCTACAGTAGTATAGTTGTGAGTTGTGAGTTTAACTGAGTCAGTGAGTCACTGAGTCGCTAACTCTTGTAACACTGATTCGACTCGTCCAGTTCATTTTTAAGAGTCTACTCATTGAGTCGACTAGCTCATGAACTACACAGCCCTAATAAATATTGTATATTAAATATTGTATTTCAGTAACCAATGCCATTAAGCGTCCACCCGGGCTTTTAGCGACTTAAATTAAAGAGGACACATAATCTTACCTTAAATAAGAAGGGGACTCCATCCCCCTCCATCCTTCCCAACTAAACCACTGTATATAGTATATATTTTATATCTGTGGATAACACACCTTTAATTAACACTGCTTAATGCTTATTATAGTGTGCAAGGTGTACATACACAAACGTTATTGGGAATTCGGTCTGTGCTGCTCGATCAAAGCTTCCAACGAACGGTCGGCCACTACCGCTACTGGAGTTGAAGTCTCCGCCAACGTGGGATCACCTGCACGGACGATGGTGGACTCATGCGAAGTCTCGACGGAGACGATCGAAACGCGTTCGACAGAAAGTTCAGAGCAGACCGACGAGTTGAGCCGGTGTCACTTTTCGAGTCAGACCGATGTATTTGACCGGTGTCACGTATCGACCGAGACCGATGCGTTGGACCACTGTCACGCATCGGCTCAGACCGAAATGTTGAAACCGTGTCATGTATCGACTGAGACCGACGTGCTGGATTTAAACCAGTGTCACATGTCGATCCAAACCGACATAGGATATGACCGTTTATCGATCGGCAACGGAAGTGTAATTTCCCTCGGAGATGTTCCGAGGTGCGAACATATCCACAGCGGACCTACGATTATGACGTCTAAACGACGGATGCGGAATTCTCTTTTTAATAATAATTCTAAATAAATAGCCGATAATATTAATGCGATTTTATCTGCCCCTCCTCTTCCGTATCAGTAAAATCAAAGCAGAGGAGAACACCGCGTTGAAAGTGAACATAGATGTCATTTCTGCATTAAATGAGTTGTGCATGATTCGATTGTGGAATGAACCGGAGTATTCTTCATGCGTTAAAACAGCTGACAACCATTTTCAAATAGATTGTTCTTTGAGAGGATACACGGTCAAAGGTACGGTCGGCCTTCTATATATATATATATATATATATATATATATATATGTTCACTTTCGTTTTACGTATATTCTCAAATCGTAATGTAAAAATATGTGCTTGACAGGTGAAGGATGGTCAAAAAAGGAGCTAAACATCGGGCAGCCTACAATGCGTATATGGTCGTTAAAAATCAAGATTAGCTTTGTTGTATTAAAATTGAACGTGAGATGATCGAGGATGTGATTTTTCTGCTAAAACAACAAATTGTTAAAGTCATTAGCGACTTATTATCGGGCATGTACCAGGGGCACGCCCCCAAAAGTACCTTTTTTTTATACCAATTTCCCCTAAATTACCTAGAGAAAAATATACCAATTGCCCTCAACCAAATGTACCAGTAGCTCTCACATATTAATATATACACGATTACAATATATAGCTCGTAAAATAGGGGAAGTAAATATAAAAATTATTAATAAAATATAGAATTATTTATAAAAATAATGTACGAGTAAAATAGTACAAAATTATAGAGTCATATTCATAATAAATAATCTAATTATAACGATAAGTGGCATATTCAATATAATAATGCTTCTGCGAATGGATTTTAAATCGTTTAATGTTATACCATAAACATTTGATTGAACTTCTTCTCGTATTAATTTTAATAGTCGTTTAGAAACTTCATCCACAGCTTTCTGTTTTAAATTATTATAAATGGTTACTTTTGTTAAATTTTTATGCGGCGAATGTTTATGTTTGATAATCGATTTTAAAAGCACCGTTTCGTCTTCACTTAAAAACAGCTTTGACGTACATGACTTCAATGTACATCGCCATTTTACATTAGCTTGTGTAATGCGGTCTTTATAAAAAGTATAATTATTTAAAACTAACAAAATATTGCCTTTTTCACTATACACTCGCGTAATATTTTCCATCTTGTAAACAACGTCAGTGTTTTCCGTATTTCATCTACTAAAATGTACTTATCAAAGACGTAGGTATACATCGCAAATCGCATCATATAATAATTTCTAACAATGTAAAAATACATATAAAGATATTCTTTTTTAGTATTCAATCCTGAGATTGGTTTGTAGCAATTCTCCACTCTTCTCTGTTACTTGCCTTCCTCTTTGTCTCTTTATAAGAAATACACCCTTGGTCCTCTATTATTTGTTGCATATATTCCATTCGTGGTCTTCCCCTAGCATTTTTTCATAAAGATATAATAAATAATAATAATTATCCACTCAGACGCATCTAAAATTACGCGTTTTGGTAAAATACTTGCTTTTCACCAAGTAGGCTATTATTATTTATTAATTATTACAAAATACAATATTATATATTATATTTATAATGTATTTATAAATGATATAACATTAAACGATGTTAACTCCATTCGCAGAAGCATTATTATTTTGAATATGTCACTTATCATTATAATAGATTATTTATTATGAATTTGACTCTATAATTTTGTACTATTTTACTTTATTTTTATAAATTATTTTATATTTTATTAATGATTTTTATAAGGGGTCTCAGATGATATATTTTTAAATATCGATATCGAATTGATACAACCAATATTTTATCACGGCATCGAAATATCGACATATTAAAAAATCGATCTATCGATAAATCGAAAAACCGATTTGTTTCGATTTAGTATTTTCTAATATTTATACATAGTACATACCTAGGTATAATATACCTAGGTATGTACTATTATATCGAAAATTCAAAATATCGGTATCAATAATTTATCAAAAATATAACATACAATAAAAAAACAAAACAAAGTAGAGGTCAATTTTTTTAAATTTATTATTTAAAAATTATAAATATCATAATTATGAATATAAAGTAAATTAATTAAAATAAAAAAATCCACCATGTCCTTTTGGTATGATTTATTCTGTGTGAATTTTATTTTTATTTTTTTTTCACTTTCGTCTTCATATGACATATCTGTGCTCTATGAACAAATT